GGGAAAGAGGAGAGGCATCCACTATATGTTCTCTAGGCCTTTTAGAAAACATGGAGTTACTTCTTTGGCCACATCCTTGGGGATCTACAGGAAAGGTGATCTTGTATACAGTAAGGGAATGGGCATTGTTCAAAAAGGAATGCCCAGAAATGTTACCGTGGCAATATTGGAAGGGTCTACAGTGTTACCCAGCTTGCTGTTGGCATTGTTATAAACAAACACGTTAAGGGTAATCCTCTTGCCAAGAGGATTAATGTACATATTGAGCATATTAAGCACTCTAAGGGCCAAGATAAATTCCTGAAATGCATGAAAGATCAGGAAAAGAAGGAAGCCAAAGAGAAAGTTACACGGGTTCAACTGAAGAGCCAGCCTGCTCTACCCAGAGAAGCACACTTTGTGAGCACCAGGAGCCTGAGCTACTGGAATCAACCCCAATGAATAGCTAGACTAAATAAGAGCAACAGAGAGAAGACTCAAATAAATAAAATCAGAAATGAATGAAGAAACATTACAACTGATGCCACAGAAATTAAAAGGATTATAAGAGACTACTATGAACCATTACATTCCAACAACTTGGATAACCTAGAAGAAATGGGTAAATTCCTAGAAACCTACAACCTGCTAAGATTGAACCATGAAAAAATAGAAAATCTGAATAGAACTCTAACTAGTAAGGAGATCAAATGTGCCAACAAGAAAAGCCCAAGATCAAATGGCTTCACTGTTGAATTCTATGAAACATTTAAAGAAAAATTAACTCCAATCCTCCTCAAACTCTTCCCAAAAAATTGAAGAGGAAGGAATGCTTCCAAACTCATTTCATGAGGCCAGCATTACCTCGATACCAAAGCTAGGAAAAGACTACAAGAAAAGAAAACTACAGAACAATATCCTTGATGAATATAGATGCAAACATTTCAACAAAATACTAGCAAACTGAATTCACCAGCATATTATAATGACCACACACCATGACCAAGTGGAATTTATCCCTACGATGCAAGAATGGTTCAACACATGAAATACATCAATGTGATACACTACATTATCAGAATGAAGGATAAAAACCACATGATCATTGCAAGAATACAGAAAAAATGATTGACAAAATTCAACATCTTTTTATGATAAAAGCATTCAACAAACTAGGAATAACAAAGGTCATATATGAAAAGCTCACAGGTAACATCATACTCAGTGATGAAAAATTGAAAGCATTTTTTTCTAAGATCAATAACAGGACAAGGATGCCTACTCTTGCCCACTTCTATTCAATATAGTCCTGGAAGTACTAGCCAGAGCAATTAGGCCAGCAAAAGAAATAAAAGTCATCCAAATTGGAAAGAAAAAAGTGAATTATTTCTATTTGCAGATTATATGATCTTATATTCTTATACGTAGAAAACCCTAAAGATTTCACACACACACACACACACACACACACACACACGAAGTGTTAGAACTAATAAACAAATTGCAGGATATAAAAAAATTTCAGGATACAAAATCAACATACAAAAATCTGCTGCGTTTCTATACACCAACAGTGAACAATCTGAAACAGATATTAAGAAAACACTCCCATCTACAAAAGTATCAAAAAGAATAAAATACTTAGGAATAAACTTAACCCAGGAGGTGAAAGACTTGTACACTGAAAAAACAGGAAAATCTACTTATATGCATGTTTTCCTATTCTGAAAAATGCAAAGATAATGTAGAGCCTTGAGACTCCTAAATTATTGTCAATGTTTCCTGGAAAGCAACAACTGACATCCTTTTTATGTTTGTTCTGACATGCCACATATGAGGATGTTGATTACATGTTCAACCCAGTTCCAAAGAAATGTTCTATTTATAAATGTCAACATAGTTAACACAGGCAGAGGGTGATGTGCCATTCTTGAGGGTGCCAGCAATAACTATACCTCTTCACTCCCTCTAAAGAAGGCACATTGGGAAATCCAATGAGTACAAGCATTGTTGTTCTATAAATAACTTCCAATGTATACTTAATTTTTCTCTAAATCATATGCTGTATAGTAAGTAGTTAAGAGTGAGAGTTGAGCTGAAAGACAACTGGCCTGGACTTTAAAAAAAAAACAAATGCCAAAATTATGAAAGGGCAGAACCGCTACAGATTAAAGAAGACTAAAGGATTGTGAAAACTAAATGCAATATGTGATTCTTCATTGGATATTAGATTTTTAAAGTTATAAAGAACATTATTGGACAATTGGGAAATTTGAATACAGAGCATATATTAATATTATATCAATGTAAGAAATTTTGAGAGTAATAATGTAATTGTAGTTATGTAGGAAAATGTTCTTGTTCTAAGAATATACATGCTTAAGTATTTAGGGGTAAAGTATCTTAAGTACAACTTATTTTCAACAAAAATATATATGTGTATGTATTTATATATGTATATTAAAATGTTATCTATTACATATACATATAATTTTTTTTAAAGAGAAAGCAAATGTGGCAAAATGATAGCCAATTGGTGAATCTAGGTTAAAATATTATGTGTATTCATTCTACTATTCTTTCAGTTTTTCTGAAGGTTTGAAAAGCTCATGGAATACAACCAGCATGCTCCTTCAGAATTACCAGGTGAATTAAAAATATGTACAGGGCTTCCCTGGTGGCGCAGTGGTTGAGAGTCCGCCTGCGGATGCAGGGGACACGGGTTCGTGCCCCGGTCTGGGAAGATCCCACATGCCGCGGAGCGGCTGGGCCCGTGAGCCATGGCCACTGAGCCTGTGCATCCAGAGCCTGTGCTCCTCAAAGGGAGAGGCCACAACAGTGAGAGGCCCGCGTACCACAAAAAAAAAAAAAAAAAAAAAATATGTACATATTTTTTTTTATCCCCTAGGAGGCTTACAGACTGCTAAAGTCTTTATTGAAGTCTCAGGTCATTAGCTATGGTGACTGTAGTAAAAAAGTGGCTGAAACTTTTTATAACATGGGCAGGATCTGCTTTGCCAAAGGAGAGCTCAGAAAGGCAATTCAGCTGCTAAGGAAGGTGAATACTGGCTGGTTTTTTACATTTGCTTCCAGGCCTGTAAGCAAAATGTGAGGGGAGATGTGTGTGTGTGTGTGTGTGTGTGTGTGTGTGTGTGTGTGGTGTGTGTGTATTTTCCCTCCCCCTTCCCTCTCTCTCTCCTTCCTTTTTTTTCTTCCTTCTCTTTTTCTTTCTTTCTTTTTTTTTTTTTAAAGTAAAGTGTTCTCTTTTGAAAATTCTTCACATTCTTAGATGTGCTAAGGGAGAATATGACTACAGAAACTTTGTTGCCTAATGTTCATTGTCCTGAAGATCGTTCCAAATATATTTCGTCTACTTTTTCTTTTCTGGTTGTTTCACGTGGGAGGGCAAATCTGGTGCCTATAATTCCACCTTGATTGGATAGAGAGGTCAGCAATAAAATTTACAATGGAAAACTGCCTAAGAGTAAAGTTATGTAGTATGAGAATGCAATGCAAGTTTGGGACACGTACACTGATTTCATTTATATCTACCCGTTTGGTTACAGCTATTTGGAAAATCCTGGTGGAAACCACTGTGGGTTTTAGGTAGGCATGCTGTCAATTTTCAGGCCTGTTACTTTGGTTTTCCACAGCCACATATGGTAGTGGAGGCTTCAGTGAAGTGGAATGATACAGGTACAGCACTAGGGGGACAGAGCCTTCGATTCAGACTCCTTCCTCCTTGGAAGGGAACCAGGAGGAAGAGTAGTACAGGCATCTGAAATGTCAACCTGTGACATCTCAGTTCCACTGGTGCTCTCCTGAGTTTGGTTTATAATGAAGGTGCTTGTTATTTGATTCTCTTTAAACTGTTATGCTTCTCAACTCGCCTAGTGTCTGATGATT